TACAGTCTTGCCCAATGAGACCTGAGAAGACTTCTCATGGGGATTTCTGAGAAAAGTTTTTCTGTTCTCGAGAAAGAGATATGAAAGAGAATGCCCCCTCTTCCCTCCCTACTGCAGCCAGCTTTCGGACCACATGCTGGTTGGTCTTTTAGAAAATTTGTCAGAGTGGAGAAAGAGAGGCTGGGTTCTTGATAAAGTTAAGAGGCTGTAGGTGAAGACTGCCTTATCTCTGGACTTATGATGTGAAATTTAAAATTTTCTTATTTAAACTAGTTTGTTTCACATTATTTTGTCATTCAAACTAGTATGTAAGTGCTCTTTCTTAATAATAACCTTTTAAAAATTTGGTTGAATTTTTTAACTAATATCAGAATCTATAAGAACTCTATTCCATAAGTATGCCATCTTCTTTTGTGCTTCAAACATGTCTTAATTTGATATAACTTCAAACATCACTAATTAATGTGCAGTGTGTGCTGTGAATGGGTTACACAGTAATGAGATACCAACTTTTTCAGCCCTGAAGGTGTCTGGAAACCTCATGGCAGTCATTTTGTTTTGACATAAGCAGCTTCCTTCATTTGCTCAAGACTACTGATCAAATAAAATCTTAAAATGTGTGCTCTCATTGTATTGTTTATTGCTAATTTTGAAACAATTTAAAAACTATTTAATAAGGACAAATCCAAATATGATATGCACTACCAGTTAAATAGTTAATGGACTAGTTTTCTGATAGCTGGATGCTAGCTATATTTCCATTTAATTCCAACTTCTTTTATGGGGTATTGTCATTGACCTTAACTTCCTAATGGGTAGAGGAGGCAACAGTAACCCCAGAATACTGATTTAGAACAGAGACGGCCTGAGGTCAAGTCCATGCCTTCCCTGGACTGTGACTCAACTGTCCACTGTCTTACCCATTCCAGACTGCAGATCTCTCATCCATTAAATGTGAGACTTGGATTCGCAGACCAAGCACTTGTTTTAATTGAAAAAAATCCCTATGTTGACTTCCAGCTTGTTGGTTTTTTTATTTCTTAAATTTTGCTTGCAGTTTTAAATTGGAGTGTTTATTTACACAGAAATACAAAAATTTTAATTACAGATGAAAAAAACTCAGGATTTTAAACATTATTATTCTCATTAAATATAGTTTGGAGGGTACAGAGTGATGACATAATACATGTACACATGTAATGATCAAATCAGGGTAGTTGCCATTTCTACCTCCTTACACTTAAAAAGATATTAACTTTAAATAATTTTTTTTTTTTTTTGTATTTCTGAGACAGGGTCTTGCTATGCAGTTCAGGTTGGCCTTAAGCTCACTTTGTAGCCAGTGTTATCCTTGAATTTGCAATGATTCTCCTGCCTCAGTCTCCCAAGTGCTGGGAACATTTAATAATTATATATGCAGTACAATATAGTATTTCAATATACGGAGAAGTGATCAAATTAGAGTAATATTTCCACCCACTGGGCCGGGGATATAGCTCAGTGGCCTGAGTGCCTGCCTGGCAAGTGTGAGGTTGTGAGTTTGATTCCTGGTATGAAAAAAAAAAAATATTCCCACCCATTTATTACTTTGAAGCCTTCCAGCTCCCCTCTTCTAGTTTTTCATAAACTATATAATAGGTTATTGCGGACTCTAGTCAACCCTCTATAAAACTAGAACTTACTAGTTCTCATAGCTCGTCTGCCTGGGTACCCATCACCCAACTTCCTTCCATTTCCCTACTGCCCACTCTCCCTAGCCTTTAATAATCACTATAGTGTACACTCAGATTGGCTTTCTGCATCCATGTATGAGAGTGCACATGTGGTATTTGTCATTTGTGTCTGACTGTCACATGACATAATGTTGACCAGTTCCATTTGTTTTGCTATAAATGGTGGGATATTATTCTTTCTATGGTTGAATTATGTTTCATTGTATAGATCTACCACTTTATCCATTCATTTGTTAATACACATGTAGGATGATTCCACATCTTAGCTATTATGAATAGTGCAATAATACACATGAGCACACAGTTATCTCTTAGATACAGATTTTGTTTCCTTTATTTTATTGTAAGTATGAAAATGTATTGGGAAATAGGAATGGGGAATAGGACTAGCTCCTGGGAGACACGAGGGGTCCCAAATGAATGGATTGCCCTTCATTTCCTTTACTTATTTATTTATTTTTGTCTTTTTGAGACAGGGTCTCGTTATGCAGTTGAGGCTGGCCTTGAGCTCATTTTGTAGGCCATGCTGGTTTGGAACTCACAATGATCCTCCTGCTTCAGCCTCTTGGGTGCTGAGATTACAAGTGTGCACCACCGAGCCCACCTCTTATTTACTTTACATATACCCTGAAATGGGATAGACAGATCATAGGCTAGATGCATTTTTTAGTGCTTTGAGGAAACCCTATGCTGTTTTAATGGCTGTTCTAATTTATATTCCCATTCTTAGTTCTTTATAAACAAATGCCATTTATTTAGGGTGCTCATATTTTTTCTTTCATTCTACTTGTTATATATTACAGTACAAATGTTAAATGATATGCAGCAATGATTTTGTAAAAGGTAGAGGGGCACACTAGAAAATATCGTACTGTCTCGTATGACAATGAGTAGTAGCTTCCTAATAGTTCAAAGTGTTATACCTTTAAACTGAAATGGAAGTTCTGCGTGGGAGGAAAGGAAAGTTAAAGATGGAAACATAATGGGTTTCAGTAGTGAAATTGTGCAATCTTTTTTTCCTTCAAAAAGGCTTGCCAGGCATAATGGCGCTTGCCAGGTATAGTGGCACATGCCTGTAATCCCAGCACTCTGGAGGCTGAGACAGGGGGATCACTGAGAGTTCAAGGCCAGCCTGAACTATGAAGCAGGACCCTTTCTCAAAAACAAAACAAAACAAGGCTGAAGGAAGTCAAATGTAAAATATTATCCAAAACAAAACAAAACAAAACAAAATTTATTACTCTTTTAAGAGTAAGTAGAATTCTGAAACATATTGGTTTTGCTTAGTCTTTTTTATACTTAATATACAGTCCTAAGCCTGAAGAGAGGAAAGAAGTTGGCAAAGAGATTATTTGTCTTCGTGTTAAAGAAATCTCAGAGAGATACCTTTATCCACCTGTATTTGCTAATGTAGTGCTGAAGCCTTTTTACCACAAGTCTGCAGCATTTGAATATTTCAAACAAAACACAAGACAATGTGTTTCACACTTCAAAGTATGACAAACTGTGACTTACACGTGAGGTGAGGCAATTTAACAAGCCATGGAGTTTTAAATATCCCTAACACTAAAGTTCTTTGGCTACAAAAGGGAACATGACATAACCTAAAATAGAGGAAAGAGCTTCTTATATAAGCAATACACTGTGAGGGGTCATTTAAATAAAATTCAGCTTTGCTTATACTCTGTAATATCTGAACACTGAAACACTATATGCCCTGCCGTTCACTTTCTATTTGTGGTTACCAAGTGCCCTTCAGGGGCCCAGCCTAAGGACTGTGATTATCTTTCACAGGATGAGAAGAGAGAGAGAGATCTGAGGCATCTTACGATACAGATATTTTCTCTGTATTGACCACAAACACAATTAGAGATACTCACTGCAGAGATGTTCGCTGGGTTTTTAACATGAGTGAACAGGAACTCTAAATATCACTGCACTCATTCACTTACTCAGTTGAAAAAGTATTCATTGCGTATTTACCTAGTCATCAGAACACAGCCACTAAGAAGGTAAAGATCCTACTAGCACGTAATTTGCATGCTTGAGAGGAAGACTGATATAAGTGATAAACCAAGACTGTTGTTTTAGAGGTTTGTGGGCCCTGGGGGTGGCGAATAAAGCAGGGCGAATCTTTACAAATGGATTATGTTTGTAGCTACTCTAAATGTGTGGTCAGAGAAGGGTTCTTTGCAGAAGAGACATCTGAGCTGAGCCTAAATGACAAGAAGAATCAGCAGGCAAAATACCAAGCACGAGGACCAGTTTTTGTGCAAGGAACACGCGAGAGGGATGGCTAGCTAACAGCGCAGGCTGAACTTGGCCACCCAACAACATGAAGGCCTTTGCGGCCAAATCGTAGTGAACGTATGTGATGAGGTCCCAGTTAGGGAGGGAATTTTGCTTTTGGTATCCACTGCAAGTTCTAAAGGCAGACTGGGAAGTAGGAAATGTAATGCGGTGTCATTTTAAAATGCAACACTGTACTTCGATCTTTTCTCTTTAAATGTAATTTCTAATTCTAGTGTTGGTCAAGAAACATCCCGCCGTCCCTGTTTGCTCGGGCTGCGGGCGCTCCCTCCGGGAGGCTTGTTTGCCGGCCCAGCTGCTGACAGCCTGGGAGCCTGTGACAGTTGGCAGGCGCTCCGGGCGCAGCCGAGCCAAGTCTCTGCGGGGGCCGGGCTGCGGGCGGGAAGGGTGGCGGCGATGCCCGGTAGAAGCGAGAGGAATGAGGAAGCCGCCGGCCGAAACTCTCCGCAGCGCAGGGGCCCCAGGCGGCCGTCTCGGAGGCTGGCAGGGGCTGCTGGATGTGGCGCCGCAGACAAGGACGGGCCCGGGCTATGGCGCGGCTGCTGGGAGCGAGGGCGGCGGAGAGAGCCTCTCCGGCCTGGAGCCGCGGGCCTCGGCCGGGGGCCCAGCCGCGGCACCCCAGCAAAGCGCAGGTGTTGACTTAGGGCGGGGTCGGAAGGCCTCGGCCGCGTCCGGCAGCTCGAGGCCCGGGCCAGGTTTTTGCGATCCGGGCCTGGTCTTGCGATCCGCCTGTCCGCTGGGCCGCTCCTAGCCCCCAGCCGCGGGACAGGCGCTGGGGGGGTCCCCGCCCCCTGGTTGTCGGCCCGCGCCGCGGGAGGACGCAGCGCGCGGACGGGCCCCGCGGGCACAGGCGACTTCGCGCCTTCTGCTCGCAGCCTCAGCGGCACTCCCCGCCGCCCTCCAGACGAGCTACCCGCGCTCTCGCTAGCGGGGCGCCCCGATTTGAGGCACAGCGTGGCGTCGGTTTATTGTCCATCTTCGAGATGTCCGCTCCCCGGAGCTGTGCTTTGCGGCGGCACTGCGGATGTCGCAGCGCCCGGGACCCAGCGGAACGCAGCGGGCTGTCACCCGGCCCGGAGAAGCGAACACACTTGTGAATCCGCGCGACCTCGCGCCCGGCGCACTTCCGGAGGCGGGGCTTATCCCGACCCCGCCCCGAAGTCGGCCGGGGTTGGGAGGTGCTGGCCGCTCCGCCTGCCTTGCCCTTTCTGCAGCGGTCGGGAAAACCCGGCGCGGCGCAGGCACAGAGCGGCGGAGCGGCGCCGCCCCTCGCGCACCTCCCCGGCGGCCCCGGGCGGCCGCGCTGGGCATGCTCAGTAGGCAGGGCCGCTTCAGCTCGGAGTAGGAAGATTGGGCGCTCGCGCTGAGCGGAGCCGCGGCGGGGGAAGATGGAGCCCTTCACCAATGGTGAGTGGGCAGCCCGAGGCGCCGGGGCCGGGCTCCCAGGGACCGCGAGGGTCTGGGGTGTGTGATGGGCGGCAGTCGCGGGGTTCGCACCCGGGCGGGGGCGGGGAAGGGGACCCCGGGAAGGCGGCGGGGGGCTCGGGGCGGGCGTGAAGGTCGGCGCCGCGCGGTCCCGGGTGCGGCCCGGTGAGCGGACCGCAAAGTTTGGGCCGCTGAGCGCGGCGGGAAAGTTGGCAGCCCGGGCTCGCCCGAGAAGGCGGGGTCGCTGCAGACTGTGCGCCGGGCCGGCGGCGGCGCCCCGGGAGCTGTCCCTGCCCTTCAGCAGGTCGCGGGCTCGGCTCTTCCCGCCGGCGCGGGTGGGGGCGCGGGCTCGGCCGCTGCCGGGTGGGAGGAAGAGAAACTTCGCCAGGGCTCGCCCGCCGCCGCTGGGTCCGCCGAGGTGCGGACCGCGTCGCCACCCTCGCGTCTGCGGCAGGGCGATCTCGCTTCCTGTCATCCGCTCCCGCGGAGATCCGTTTGTCAGTCGAGACTCATTAAAAAAAAAAAAAAAAAAAATCACAGTGATAGCGCAATGGGGAATGAGGCTAAGAGCCAGCACAGGAGCCTGCGCCCTGGAAATCGCCACAGCCCTTTTACAGGGTGGAGGAGTTCACCCACCCGAGTCAGAATGATGGCTTTTGTTTGGACCACAAGTGAGAGAGTCGCCGTAGAGGGGTGATCCTTGACAGTCAGCGTTGCGAAATTTTTGCAGCGTTGAGAAATGGATTTCCTCCTAGGATAGAAAGTAGGAAAACTGTTAATAGAGGAGGCTGCGCTGAAATTACGAGATTCACTCTCAGGTTGACATGGGTTTACCTGCAGAGGGTAGGCTACTCAGTAGCCCATTAGTAGGAGACAAAGTCTATCCCTGGTTGGGTGAGTTAGTTGCCACCCAACAGAGGAGAGAGATATTGTCCACTCCATCGCAAACCCAGCCCGACTCTGTTGTATGCTGTGTTGTATTCATGGGGCTGTGAACTAATCATCATATTCTCATTTCTGATTCAGAATGCTTTATTCTGTTGCCATCTTTCTGTTCTGTTTAATCAGGCTTAATGATGACAACTTTGTGAATACTCTGTCCTATTCGAGTTCTGTTTGTAATTACTGCGCTTTCAGAGCAGTCTGGTAAAGTTACTCAGAATGAAGGAAGATTTGATCTGGAAGGAACCATAAGACCGTCTACTGCTTGAGGGTAAATCATGTCCGATCCAGATTGGTAAACCCTTGCAAATAAATACTCTGGTGGCTTGTTTCTTTGTTCTAGGCAGAATACTTGGAGCGTCACTGTTTGTAGGATTTTAAATGTGAAATTTCACCTTAAAAAATTGTCTTCACAATGAGGCTGAGTCACCTATTTGGTCGATTAGTGCGAGCTGATTTGCTGAACCTTCATCTGCAGAATTAAAGTACATTCTCAAGTCTTAAAATTAGTCTTTTCTCCTTTCACAGAATATCCTACTCTACCTGTGAATATTTGCATATTGTGACATTTGGGAGGACAATGGAAAATCTCAACAACAACAACAACGAAGTAATACTTTAACTCTCATGTTGGAAATTGGATGTCTAATCCTTTCCTATCTTACCTTGCAGATTTTCAGAGTAGCAGTCATCCCTTGAGTCTTAGGGAACAACCTTTAACAAGCAAAATAGAAACTAACGTCTAAAGTCAGCAAGAAGTTAGCTGCTGGCATTTTGAGGTGCTTTTCAGATTTGAAGTGGAGTAGGCATACTGGTGTTTTCAGACATAACAAAGTGCAGTACAAAGTATGTGTGTCTTTCTGCTGAATCCATTGAGTGCAAAAAACACACACATACAGTTTTGCCATAGGCCTGGTCATTTTATTGAAGAATATTTTATTATCTTAGAATTTATTAGTGCAGTGTTCATCAAACTTACTATTGGCTTTTTCCCACTTAATACTTTCTTGTATATTCCTGTTTGTAGAGATGTGGGAGGTTGACAAAAATATTTTTAGTAATTTAGGACCATATTTCTTTCAGTTAAAATCTTGTCAGCTGTTTCAACCTCTGACCTGAAAATGTATAAAGGAAGTGAATTTAGTTTCTGTCTTGTCATTCTGGTGTTCGGTACTCATACACACCATTAGGGCTTTCTGTAGTTTCCCTATTTTATGTCAAATGCTACTACTGTTGGTAAGGCCCATTTTCTGAAGCCCTCTGCAGGTGATGGTAGGTTCCTGTCCTGAACATCAGTGTTAACCTGTCCAGGTGACATGCTGCTGCACCTAATTTAAAATGCATGTCGAAAGAAAAGGCTTGTAAGGATGGACCTTTGCGCCAGGAATCCTTGTTTGGCTCAGGAGATATTTTTGGCCTTGCCCTTGGGAGGGACTGCTGACTATCATGAAGGCTGGATATGTGTTCTGGCTTTGGCTTTCTGGTATCTTTTACGGCGAGAGAGATGGATTAGAGAAGTACTAAAAATTGGTTTGACAGTAATTGTTGTGTGCTGTTAGGCAGAAATAGGTGAATTGGAAGTAAAGAGTTATATATTTACAACTACCACCAATGATGGCAACTATCTATTTTGATATAGGCACCAGATTAAAACAAATAATTATTTGATATTTGTCTAGCTTTGTCCTCATTTGCATGTGGAGATGGCGTATTTCAGAATAAATTAAATTCAGGTTAAAAATGCTAAAGCCAGAATCTAATTGAGAAGGCCTGAGACTGGGCCTAGAAATCTGCAGCTTCTGAGATACTAGAAGTGTTCACTAGAAATTTTGGAACTTTATGTGGTAAGTTCAGGATTTGGAAACTTGCTGATGAATGAGTTTCCCGCTGGGTGGAGTTACTGATACAGGATATTTTGTTTCTACTTTCTATTTTGTGGTGTGATCTGAAGTAAATCCAGAGATTGGGAAAGTATTGATATTTTGAAGTCCCAGAAATGAAAACATAATTTGATTATTTTATCTTTTTTTTTCATAAGAACTTAGCCCTCATGATTATTATATTACCATAGCCTTGTACAGAATTGAACAAGGGGAGCTTTCTTGTTTTATGAAATTACTTCTGTGAAATTTTTCATTTTCAGATTGGTATCCAGTTGAAAGTATTTTCCTATTTCCACAATGGAAAGTCTTGGCAGCAAATTATATTTTTGTGGGTTGTAGAGAAGCCTATAATTGTGATTCACCTTTTCATCTTATAAATAATAGTTATTCTGTAGATATGTGTGTTTTTCTAAACATGTTTTTAGTGTCATTTCTCAAAAATGTGAGGTTATCACATTTTGAACCTCCAGATACAGATGTAGATGTAGTTCTCTGATAAATTACTGCTTTGAGAGAAAACCCTATGAAATACAACATCATAGTTTCTCTTAATAATAGAAGGTTCTCTGTGACATGTTTGGGGAATAGGACTATGTAAAAATTGATGGTTAGCATTGTTAATAGTCTCTGGCTGAGCTGTAGATTTAAAAAAAAGCCAATTTTTAAATAGAAGTAATAGAAACATTCTTTGTTATCACTTACATGTTTCTAAGAGTGTCTTGAGACATGATAAAAATAGCATATGTTAGACATGGTTATAATCAGTGGTTATCATTGATGTGTGTATGATCTTTGAGAACTCAATCTGAAAGATAGAAAGATTGGTTATAAAGAAATTATCACATGGAAAATAAGTAAGGGGCGGTTTTCTGCTCAGTAAGTCACCCTCTTTTGAACGCTCATTTACAAGCAGATTTTCTGCTAGTCGTAGTTAGAGAAACGATAGCGATGATCTAAATAAGAGAAACAAATTGGAAGAGTTTAGTTTTGTTTTCACGTTAATATGCTAGTATGAAAATGTGAAAATAAAAAAGCAGTACATCTTTATCCAAGACAAGATTCTAATTATGAAGGAAGATGTACAGAATTGTCCATGTAACTTGTTCACATAACCTCTGTCACCAGTAAGCTCACATCTCTGCTGATTCAATGTACTACTTCTGTTAGCGTACACCAGCATTGTTACCCTCTTTGTGAATACATTAAGAAATTTAGATATGAAACAATTTAAGCAAGATTGCCCCAGAATTTGGGATAGACTGATATTAGGCCTTTGATTCTTGGCAATTGAGGTGAGGAGCAGAATGTGGTCATTTTCTATCTGTTACCTCATGCCTTAAAACTGTATGGAGTTGGAGTTGAGCTGCTAGACTTTTCCATAATAGCACTGTAATAACCAGACAAAGTCCTTTAAAGATTTGATTCCTTATATAGGTACTTTTTCTGAGTATTAACAGAACAAACCGAACCAGCCAACCAAAGAAACAAATAAAAAATACAAGTTTGGGAATGGAGGGATATTTTGGATCCATCATGGTGGTATGGCTCCTTTTATATCCGGTGGCCTTTGTAGAGAACGCTGCTCATTACCCTTGGGTTTCTGGACAGTAATTAATAATTTCTGTGTCCAAGGAAAAGTGGTCAAGAAGTCCCTTATAACCTTTGTAAGAACTTCACATACTGCAGAGATCTTTAGGAAAAATTGAGACTCATGAGGAGAATCAGTGAAGAGGGAAGAAATACGGAGGTTGGGGGGTAAAGAGGAAGCTGGTCGGCAGAGATTTTCAAAATGGTCATGCAAATCTGTGGCTCAGAAATGAGCCTGTGTTGGGGAGCAGGATCCTGTTGTACGAGGTTGAGAGAGTCAGGGAAGGGAAGAGGCCAGTAGCTCTTGTTGGACAAAAGGAATTGTGTAGCGATGGAAGAGTTAAGACTGGCATTTGCAATCTCTGGCAGGCGATGGAAAAATTTGTCAGGAATTTTATCAGACTGTCTTCTTTCTGTCATAGTTAAAAATTCATAGTCACTTGTAAGGAATGTTCATTCTCCTGAATGTTTTAGATTTGATTTCAAGAAAAAAAAGAAGACTATACACTCTAGAACCATCCACCTTTTCCTATAATGATAGCAATCACTTAGAATTCTTGCCTGGTTTTG